GCAGCTCCTAAGGCTGCAGGACATTTCTTCTTAGGGAGATGAGTAAAAGAAAACAGCAGATTTTTTAGTCAAATTGTTTTAGAATAATGAACTTGAAAAAGCTGACCGACTTTCTGAAATTTTATTGGAAATGAATTTTTGTAAAGCTGTAATATTAAAGATGCTTTAATGATTTTTATTCTGTCTTGTYACACCTGTTAGATGCATACTGCAGTGGAATGAAATGCAGGATGTAAAATTCCATCAGATTTTGCTGTAGGAGTTAGTAAGAGTTTCAAAGCTGATCTTTCYCTGATAAGATCTGTTCAGTCTTAACAATGGAGTGGTCACTGCTGCTCGTAATAAAGCATTAACTGTACTGAAATGAGGCTGTCAGAACAGTTTCTTCCAGAGATTTGTTCATTTTAGAGACTTCTTAAAACTTAAGAAAAAACATCTTTTGGAAAACTGATCTGGTCCAGGGTTATTTCTGATATGACTTCACTGACTTAAAGGGCTGGATTTAGACTCTTATGCCAGTTGACTCCCTTGGGTAAGCTTCATTTCCTTACCTACTATACATCTTAGAGCATCTAACCTGATAGCAAAAGACACATGATGTTGTTGAAAATGAAATACTGCCTGGGGGCAGAAGGATAAACTCTGTGGYCTCCTGAGGTCCTCCCAGCAATACTTTCTATAATTCTATTAGATTAAGTGGGGAAAGAAGTGGCGTGGAAAGCACAAAACAGGCTAAGTCTTAAGCTAGCAATTAAATTGGGTTCTGGGCTGGACTACACTAGAAAATGTACAATCTATCCCAATTAAGAACAGTATCTCAAGAGAAACCAGGTGCCTGACGCAGGTGCTGACAGCAGGGAAAACAGTGTTTCTGTTCTGTAGAAAGCAGCAACTGCTTTCTACTGCTGCTTGCACAGATCCGTGGGGGTCCTGCTCGAGACTTGGTTCTGCTTTTAATAAATATTCCCACCTATGATGCCCAGGTGGCAACTGCTTGCAAGTGCCCTGTCTGCCTGTGTGATGGCAGATCTCTGCTAGAAGCAGGAAGACATTCCTTTTTCTTCACAGCATCCATGATAGGAACCCCCTCTTCCCATGCATTTTCAGTTCCTCTCTTCTTGTCTTATAGCCACTTCTTGTTGAGGAGTGACCCTCTCTGTTTATTCTTGTCAAGTAAGCTTTCTATCTTGCAGATGGTACTCCGGGGGCTAAGGGATTTCTAGGACCTTCAGCAGCAGAGGTAGAGTCAGAACAGAAGCTCTTCAAGGGTCATGTTTGCCCCCTCCACCTTCTTTCTTAGCTTAAGGGCACATCATCTCCTTCTCACATCCCATTTCCTCCTCCTGCTGTCATCTTGCCTAGAGAACAGTATCTTCTGTGCCAGTTGCCCTTGACTCTGTTGACCCGGAACAACAATATTTGGGGAAGGAGAAAGAAGGAGGSTACACAATCTCCAGTCTTTTCAGTGCTCCTATCTGCTGTGACTCCCTAAGTCACCTGGAGAAGAGGATATTGCTCATTCTCCAGTATAATGCCCTGGTAGGAGACCTACAACTTAGTCCTGACTTTAATTTTGACTCTTCGCGGCTTGCTGCAATGTAACTTYCGCGCACACTGACTCTTCTCATTCTTGGGCTTTTTTTTCCCTCCTTGCAGGGGGCTTTCTCTCATTCTYCTGTTACAGCTTCACATATCTCATCCCCTAGAGCTGTTTGTCAAGAGAAGCCTGAAACCGCTCTCTTCCCTGGCCTGTGAAACAAAATCCAATCTGGCAATGTTTAAAGAGAAATGTGGCAGACCCCACATGTCAAGTTGGGGTCGAAGATGGGRTCGGTTTGATGAGTTTCCCTCCAGCCAGGCATTCATCAGCTGGAGTTATGTAAAGTCTGTAATATTTCTGCATTAGAACTGGGAAAATCTACAATATAAGGATTTTGTGTTAGGCACTGCAAGCTATATGGTAGAGGGGTATAGGTATAGGGGCAGGACTGATCAGCAGCTGTGTCCCACATAAGGGAACAGCTAGAGCATAATAACTGGGTGGAAAGAGTGGGGTCTATTTCCCTGCATGAAGGCCCCAAAGGAGTTGCTGAGGCAAAATGGGAAAGTGTGGAATATGAGTGGAATTACATATGGAAAAAAAAAAAGTGTGGAAAGTAATATTTTCATGAGCAATTGAGGGAAAGTGAGAAAACGGCATAGTGCTGGATAACACTATAGGTTGAAGAATGATTGTCAAGAATAAATAACTGTTTAGAGATTTTCAAGAACAATATCTCTGTGTCAAAGTCATTTTGGGCAATTCAGAGCTGTAATGACTAAGGTCAAAAGTAGCCATCAGTTTGTGTTCCAGTCGTAGGACCTGCATCAGAACAAGGCATGGTGATTTCAAACTTTGCATGGGAGGATTGATGCTATGATTTGATAGGGCAATAATGAAAATCCAGAGTGATAAACCTAGGAGTAGTATGGGAAGATGAGAACAGCAAGCTATGGTGCTGCAAGGAGCAGTGGCTTGTGAGATCAGAAAAAAAAAAGAATAGATGGGCTAGAGAGGACTAAGAGGGTAGGAGAGAGTGAAGAGATGTTGCAGATATATCAAGAGTAAAATTCTTTGCTGGGATATTGAAGTGGAGGGAAACAGATACCTACAATTATTACCTTTGTATCAGTTAAAACATAAATTAATTCCAGACCTTTACGTATTTTCTTTTTCTACAGATCGGTCTGATCTATTTGCTTAAATGTTTCTGTGAGGGAAAAAGAGCACATATACCACTGCCTAATTGTGCTGCAGCATCCCAAATACACTATGTTCATCCATTCAAGAAATGGAAAGAGAAGCTGCATCTCTCCTGACTAAGTGACCATTACAACCTCGGCACTGACCTACCGAGAACAGTCATAAAGCACAATGCCTTCACAAAATATCAATATGTAGCGTCGGTATAAAGCAGGTAGAAATCACCCCGTTCATGAATAAAATTACTTATAATAAATAATTCCTTCAGCTCTTTGTGGGATGAAACTATTTGCTGCTACACTGTTTTCCCTTCTTTGGTTTTGCTAATCTATTTTGGCTCCTGTGAATTATCCATCTCTTTTCAACAGATTTGTGTGGCCATTGTGCACTATTTCTGGGGCTTCAGGTTTGTTATGTTGGATAGCTTCGATCTGGGGACTGTGAAGCTGGAAGTACTGGAATTCAGAGTACAATTGAAGCATCAGACATAAAATCAGCTTGTAAGGATAACAACTGGGTGTCCAGGAAAGATGCCATACAGTGGTAAAAATGCTTTTCAGTGCTGTTGTCAGCATAGAAATATCAGGCTGTAATGAATATGAAAATGTTAAATTGGGAAGGAACAGCTGGAGATTTTGTCAAAGGAAACAACTGTGGGTTTCTTGGGGCTGAGGTAAATGCACAGGAAGGGATGCAGTAAGTCTCCAGATGCTGATGTCTGGAGAAGTAATGGAGGGAACAATTTACTGGGTAATGTCATGAAGCAGAGTAACAGCAAGAGGATGTGTGTGGTGTGGGCAGGAGCACASTAATACAGCTTTTCTGTCCCCTCTTGTTTCTGCATCCATTGAGACCTCAGGATAGTTCTTTTAAGTGGACTGAGTTGTTACTGTTGATGGCCCTCACCCCTGAGACTGCCAGCAGGGTGGTTTTCCCTCTTCACCAAGACAGGAGAAGTGAGTACATAATCATTTTGATATCTTATTCCTAAATACCCCTGTGCAAGGGAGCTGATTGCTGCTTGTAACTGCACATACACACAGCTCTGCTACACCTCCTGTGCCAACAACTCCCCCTATTACC